CCCCAAAACCCCAAAACCCCAAAACCCCTTAAAATTGTGCACTTTTGAAACTTTAATTAATAATAGCATTCATAAAATCATCTTCCTTCTTCAGTGAGAACTGACTAGAAGTATCAGATTGGGATAAATTCTCTTTAGATGACTCATTGTCTGCGTACAATAGAATCCTCTCTGCAATATCAACACGAGATCTGGTGATGTCTAGGTCCTTAACGACCTGGGAGGCACCTTCGCTACAAGAGCTGGAATCATATCCCTCAGCTTTGATTTTTGTCCTGAGATTTCCGAAATTCTGTGAAAGTACGGAATCTTGTGAATTAGAAAAAGATTGTTGTTCAAGAGTCATTTCCTTCTTTACAGGTAAACCTGATCAATCGTAGTTGTCTTTATCAACTCTGAATACAGACTGTTGTTCTTTCTTCATTCTCTTACTTAACTTATTAGTCAAGCCTTCTTCTTTCTTCAGGTTTACACTATGGTGAGATTAGATTAAGAGACTTACAGTTCAGTAAGGTTCATACAGAGATTTTCTTGAGCAAGAATATCCTTAACAGAGTCTTCATGCTTCTTTATCTTCGCAAAACTTGCTTTAAGTTCTTCAGAATGTTCAGAGAGTATCTCATCTTCAAGAATAGCGCCTTGGTCGATTACTTCACCGCTCTTACTAGTTTCTATTTTGCCTTCAAGCTTTTTGAGGTATCTCAAAAGAATGGTAGTGGGCCATACCTTTTCTCCATTAATAGCTCGGGTTTCTTCAAGCAATGCGAGTTTCCTCAAAGTTTGACTCTCAAGGGCAACTGAGGCTTGAGAAGTACTACGAGAGTTCTGAGACTCCGGAGTGTACAGGTCTCATTCATATTCAGACTTTTTAACGTTTCAACCCTGCTCATGACATCAGCAAACCCAGCAACGTTTGGGCGGTCTGTTGACAATTGAGTCTTTATTAAATGATTGAAGGATTCTATGCTGTTATTTGATGCTATTAGGTCTTCAAGGTCTTCCTCATGGCCTTTATAGCTCCAGTAATGGGGCTGGTAACATCCATCTGAGCATTTAGCAGCGAATTCTGTAAGGAATTCATCAAAAAGTTGAGATTTCTCAGCATAGGCTTCTTGAAGGGAGATAAATCTGCTAATTATTTCATCTTTATTTGCAAAGCAAAGAGCTTGGAGACCCATGACCATTCATTTTGCTGATAAGATATACTCAGGCTTGTTCAGCCCTTTTTCCATCACATCTCGCCATAAGGATTTTCAGAACTGCATGAATAGGGGTTTAGCATCTAGTTCTGTGTCTTTTTGTCAAAAGACTTCTGTAATTGCATCTCTTAAGTCTTGGATAAAATCAGCAGTGATATATTTGGGATTGAGAGATAGTTTATCTTTCATCCATTTTAATGCAACTAGATACCCTTGCTTCTTCTTTGTCTGAATTAGAGCATGACCAATTGGGATATAGATCTTCTTAATCTTATCGAAAACAAAGAAATTCATTAATTGCTTAAAAGTTCTAGGGCATCACCTGCTAACAAGATCTATACAAAGATGGAGATCCCCTTGAGAATTAAGTTCTTCTATTATTGACTCTTGCCAATCTGAATACATAAATAAGAACAATCTTGGAAGATTTTCGATGATTTCAAGGTACATTTCTCGCCCAAATTGAGTATTCCTAAGAGTTTTGAGATTTTCAACATTGATCAATCCATATCCTGCCACTCCTGGTGCAATGGCTCTCCTTACTTTATGTAGTATATACTCAATCTCAACCTTTGGAGGAAGATCTGCATGGGCTACAGAGGATTTAATCTCTGTGATCACTTCATTCCTTGTAATAGAAGGTGTCTTAATAGCGAGAGCTACTATTAATTTCTTGACTTCCTGTTTAGATATTTGGACAAACTGCTTCTTATCAGGTCCATTAGGATTGGCTCAGTTCAGGTCATCTTCATTCATTTTACAGGTATGCATTTCTGGAGGAAAGCTATGATCGCAGTCAATGTTGCCAAACTCACCGCCGTAGGCGGTGATTTTAGCAATCCATCTCCCTTTGCAGCCTAGCTTCATGAAATCTTCACAACGATAGATGAGTTTGCCATCATGAGTCTTTTTGTATTTTTCGTACACATGACCATCTCTGACAATACAGTTGCCTTTCATGAAGGAATATTCTCTCAGTTTTGATCGTTCTTTGTATTGTCTTTTCCTAGCGATATCTCCATCATTACGGAAGCATTCTGCCCATTTCATGCACTTCTGTTTATCAGTGAGGCCATGCTTGTACTCCATGTAAAGTTTGAGGATGCATCTTTCATACTGCTTTGCATGCATATAGGCAGCAAAAAGGTCTTCTTCGTTCTCAATAGCTCATTTTTCACCATCAGAGTCAATGAAGTGGAACGTGAAATCGTTGAAATCAGGCATATTTACAAACAAGTCTCCGAATGTGGTCTGGATCAAGGAGTAAAGCTCATCAAGGTTCTTTGGAAGTGCTTGCGTCAGTTTGGTAGTACCCTGGTATGATATTTTAATAGCAACTTCTGTGAAATCTGGACCTCCTCTGGGCTGGAATATCTTGTTCTGGGACTTTTGAGCTATATTCATGACTTTTTCTAGCAATGGTTGAGCAGATTTTAATAAATCTGAACAATAATCGGCATCAAATCCATCAGTAGGGGCTGCAACTGCATTAACTAGTTCATTATACGCTATCGGTAATCCTTCAGTCATAGAATTGAGTAAAAAATTTAGTTAAAATTTATGAGATTTCAATTAGAGTAAATTTTGAAGGGGTTTTGGGGTTTTGGGGTTTTGGGGTTTTGGGG